CAATTCAAGATGAGATTTGGGTGGGGACACAAAGCCTAACCCCATATCAGGAGGCAAAGTCTATCTTTCTAACTCTTCTAGTCAGCTAGCTCCTGCTGGGTTATCTTCTGTCCCTTTTTTGGCACCCCCTTTCCCATACCTTCACTCCGCCCACCACAGAAATCCAACAGGAACTACAGTTATCGGCAACGGCCCAGACTTTAAAAGTTTCCTTCAATATCCTCCCAAACCCTACCAGTCCTGTATCCCATCCCATCAGGGCTATATTTTCAAGATAAACCAGTGGTCTTCAAACTTCAGCACAAATCAGAATCCCCAGGAGCACTCGTTAAAACAGATTTCTGGTTCCCATTCTAGAAGTTCTGATTCAGTAGGTCTAGTGTGGAGCCTGAGAATTTGCATTTTTTCTAACTTCTCATATGCTGCTGATGCTGCAAAGGCCACATTTTAAGAACCACTGGAAAGAAAGTAATGCAAAACCAGGGGCAACAGGTGATTTATGCTGGAATGATGAAAGGAAACTTTAGTTCATTCTGACTCAGCCCCTTCACAGAGTTTCTGATTCAATTGGCACTGTCTGGATTTGGTGACTCCCAGATCATTTTCCCTCTACTTCACCTTGTCTTCCTTCTCCAACTTTCTCTCTCTCTCTGTCTTTTTTTTTTTTTTTTTTGAGATGGAGTCTTGCTCTGTTACTCAGGTTGAAGTGTAGTGGCGCAATCTCGGCTCATGCAACCTCCACCTCCCAGGTTCGAGCAGTTCTCCTGCCTCAAGTAGCTGGAATTACAGGCACTTGTCACTACACCTGGCTAATTTTTGTATTTTTAGTAGAGACGGGGTTTCACCATGTTGGCCAGGCTGGTCTCAAACCCCTGACCTCAGGTGATCCACCTGCCTTGGCCTCCCAAAGTGCTGGGATTACAGGTGTGAGCCACCGCGCCCAGCCCCTCCTCCAACTTTCTGATCTTACTTTTCAGATGTTTCTCAGGGCTTCTCCACTTAAGACTGACCCTACGGTCTTTCTCGTTCTCCTGTCACAAAGCCACAGTTTCAGGACAGAGCCCTTTCCTGAGCTCTTAGCTCCATTTCAGCGCCCTTTTCTCCCTCCCTGCCCCTGAGTTGCTTGCCGCTATTATCTATCCAGTATTAGCACCCCCTACTCCAGCAGTCAGTGACCTTTGGAAAGCTGGGCTCCCATTAGGGCCCACTCCTATCTAGCAGGGGTAGCCATTTCCGCTCCCAGCCAGTGGAGTCTTGCTCTACAAACATTGGCATGCTAATGATAGTCACCTATTCCCCCCTGGGAAGTTTCTGTTTGTTCCAGCTTCTTTAAGGACATGGAAATACTGAAGCCACCTCATTTACATGCCTCTGTTCATTCCTTTACTCAACAAACATTGATGGAATACCTGCCAGACACCATGCTGGGCCCAAGGGAGGCTGCAAGGACACATCAAGCATGAACACATACATGTTTATGGCAGCGCCTGGGAGTCCCAAATGACTCTTCATAAAGGGGATCTTTTGGCCTCACTCATCAACGAGGAGAGACACTCAAGGAAGAAAAGCCACGAACTGACCACTCATGAGACATCTTGCCTTCTCAGCCCTTCCGATTCCCCTGTTCCTGGGAAAGTGACCAGGGACAAAGACTGAAAGGCATGATCCCAGAGAGTTTCCAAACCTCTTTATTGAAATGAGTGTTATGATTCACACTTCTCAGTCGTTAGCCCACTGCACTGAGTGAGATAAGGTATGTAAAGCTAGAACACAGCGAGCTAACACCTCTCTTTTCCTCTTTTTTTTTTTTTTTGGCAGAGTCTCGCTCTGTCGCCCAGGCTTGAGTGCAGTGGTGTGATCTTGGCTCACTGCAACCTCCGCCTCCCAGGTTCAACTGATTCTCCTGCCTCAGCCTCCAGAGTAGCTGGGATTACAGGTACGTGCCACCATGCCTGGCTAATTTTTTTTTTTTTTTTGTATTTTTAGTAGAGATGGGGTTTCACTGTGTTAGCCAGTATGGTCTCAATCTCCTGACCTCATGATCCACCTGCCTTGACCTCCCAAAGTGCTGGGATTACAGGCGTGAGCCACCGTACCCAGCCTGAGCTAACACCTCTCTACACATTCTGACATACCAACACATGCCAAAACACACACTGACACACTGAAGCACACACTGCCAAATGCACCAACATGCACACACTGACATACACTGACACACACACTGGCAGACACAACCACAAAATCAAACACAAGTAAACGCATGCCAACACACACATTGACAGACGTACAGACACACAGCTGGCACACACTGACAATACAGACGAACACACTGACACATCTACTCACACATCAAGACCCACACACACACCGACCCACACCCCACCGCAGGAGGATGGAGGCCCAGGCCCAGGACCGGCTTGTAGCCACAGGGGGCAGGTATGACAGGAACTAAAGTGTCGCGGGAGACTTGAATGAAGCACTTGGTTCAACGCTTTGAGGTTCAGGGTTTTGGAAGAGGAGGCCGCAGTGAGGTTCTGGTAACCTCTAGGGACAGGAGGGCCGAATGGGGCACACAGGTGAGACACCAAGGATTCCGTGCGAAAGTGCCCCCAGAGCTAGGCCGGAAGTTCAGAGCTTCAGTCTGCCAGGAGTGCTAAGGCGGGTGGGGCAGCGCCTGAGAGATTCCGAGAGAGCCCCGCAGCCCGCCAGTCCCCTCCCGCTCCAGCAGCAGCTTTCTGCTCTGGCTTCCAAATTCTCCTCTTTTGTCCCACCACCACCCAAACCCCAAGTCCTGATTGGGGCTAGTGACCTCGGGCCCTTTGAATCCACCTCGCCCTAGCCTTTGCCAGGGAAGATCCCTGTCCCAGACACCCAGCCTGGAAGCGGACAGTCACCTCTGACTCCCCGCCCCCATCCGGTTGGGGCCCAAGCCTCACCGTGGTTCCTCAGACCTAACCCTGGTTCCCCATGTCGCTGCCAACCCAATCCAGGGCTCAGGCTCTGCCCCAAAGCTCCAGAGAGTATGAAAGACTCCAGCTGCCCCTCTTCCTTGCCACCGCCATCGCCCTGTGGCCTTCGCCTTCTGTCTCGCGCAACTCCCCGCGATTGCTCCAGGCTCTTCCCCTTCAGGCAGCTCCTGGGTCTCCAGCACAATGAAGGCGCACAGTGGCGCTCCGTGAATACTTGGCTCTTCATGACGGTCCTTCCTGGTCCCCTTCACTGTGTCTCTTCTTTCTTCTCCCCGCTCGCCACGCACGCATCCGAATCTTCTCCCTCCGCTTAATGGAGCGCCTCCCGGCTGCTGCGAGGCCCCATACTCCGCCTGGGATGCGTTTGCTGAGTCCTTGTTTTGCAGGCGCACAGGGTATATAAAGGGCTTCCAGAAAGAGTGTGGGAAGCTCCATCCAGCAGGTGGAACCGAGTGCCAGGCATGCTCTTCTTTGGCCACTCCATTTCCTTCTCTCTTTCTTTCCTTTCTTCCTTCCTTCCCTTCCTTCCTTCTTTTCTTTTCTCTTATCTTTTCCTTTGATGGAGTCTCACTTTGTCGCCAGGCTGGAAGGCAATGGCGCGATCTCGGCTCACTGCAACATCCGCCTCCCGGGTTCAAGGGAATCCCCTGCCTTAGCCTCTCGAGCAACTGGGACTACAGGCGCTTGCCACCACGCCCGGCTAATTTTTTGTATTTTTAGTAGAGACGGGGTTTCACCATGTTAGCCAGGATGGTCTCGATCTCCTGACCTCGCGATCCGCCCGCCTCAGACTCCCAAAGTGCTGGGATTACAGGCGTGAGCCACTGCGCCTGGCCTGGCCATTCCATTTTCTTGTCTTCCCTGACTTCCCCAACGCCAGAGCCTCTGGGGCAGGTCCCTTCTTCCTCTCTCTCCTCGGTTCCTGCTTTTCCTTTTTCCTCTCTCCTGCCTCCCTCTCAGCTGCTCCAGCCTTGGGCCTCTACGGGGTCATCTCCCATGCCCCACTGGGGCCCCCTTGTGGGCCCGGGTTTCCCCCATTGGCCTGTCACCCCCTCCCCCATCTGGGGTCCCTCTGGCGGGCCCAGGTCTCTCTACCATACCAGGGAACCCGCCCTTTTGAGAAGTGGTATGTACTGTTCCTCCCGCTGGGGCCTCCGGCTTGCCAAATCTGCCTGCGTGCTCCAGTTGCAGGGAGCTAGCAAGACGCCAGTCCCGGGAGAGAGGGGAGGGCGCCAGGGCTGGAGAAGTGGAGAGGTGCCCAAGAGAGAGGACGCAAGGCCGGGAGGGCCAGGAGGAAAAGGAGAGCGGGCGTGCACTCTCCTGCCTTCGGAAGTTTTCTCCTCTGCGTCCCGTTGGCCGCCGCGTCCCGGGCTGAATGAGGGTCGAGGAGAAATCAGGGGGCGGGGCAGAGTGACTGGAGGCCGCTCCCCGTCACCCGCCCCTCCATCTCGCTCCATTGATCTGGGAACCTTAATCTTCAGACCCTCCTCTTGTACTAGATGGGGTGGGTAGTCTAAGTCTCTGCTCACGCTGAGCGTCTAGGGTTCGGTTGGAGAGAGGAGGCGTGCAGTCCGTTAGTACTAAGTACCCAAAGGTGGTAAGCTCGGCTCCAAGAAATTACAGTCCACAGCACCCAAGGCTTGGAAATCCCGGAGCAGATGCGGTGTCTCAAGACCTGTAGCCTTGGACCGCACATGGCACAGCTCAGCTCAGTTGCGGGCCCACAGTGCGGCTCCCCACCCCGGCCCCTTTCTAAGCTCTAAGGTGGAGCCGGCAGGTGCCGCAGGCCTTCTCTGCACCTCGGCCTCAGCTGCGCTCCCGGGCCATGGCGGGAGGGAGACACGACAGTGGGACATCGAGACTCTAGCGGCCGAGGCGCACCCATCCAAGCACCCTGGAATCTCGGTGGAGAGGAAGGGGGCTAGCGGGCCTGGGAGGAGAACTGCAGAGCTCCGCTGCTGAGCCAAGCCTGGGAGGGGGAGGGGCGGGGGCTCCCTTCCAGCCTCAGGGGTCTGGGGACTTAGAGATGTAAGGAGAGCAGGGGGGTGTGACAATTCAGCAGAGGTCGGGACGTACCACGGAGCCCAGTGGCGGCGGGGGGGGCAGAGGACGTGGTCACCGAGGGGAGCCCCCGCCCCCCTTCGCAGAGGCCTATGGCTGGGGTTGCAGGAAGAACTGGAACTGGGCTGGCCGTAGGGGGAAGCGGCGAGTTAAATCCGCCCCCTCTACATACCCTACTTTCAAGGGGTGGGCGGTAGAGGGGAGGTTGGGGTTGGAGCAGCGGCGAGGGGGCCCCTCCCTTGCACCTCCCTCCACCGGACTTGGTCGCGCCCGAAGTGTAACACTTTCTCTTTGTCGGAGGAGCTCCTCTGTTTCCTGTGCGGTAGCTCCCGTTGCGGCGGCACCCGTGGCAGCCCTGGCGGACGCAGGAGCGATGGCAGCGACCGATGTAGCTCGCCAGGTGGTGAGTGCACGGCTTGGGTGCCAGGGCCAGGACCGAGGGCCCCGGGAGGGTCGAGGAGACCTGGCCGCCGCCGCCACATCGCGGCAGAGGGCAATGGGCAGCATCCAGGAGCCGAGGGCACGGTGGGACTTCTGCTCCCGGGGTCAGCAGCTCAGTCCCCCAGCCTGTCCCGGAAAACCGTGGTGGCGCTCGGGGAGGCGGCAGGGGGGCTGGCAAAGCCTGCGGGCCGGCGGCTGAACTTGCATTGCCCAAGAGCCGCAGTGAGCGCCGCCGCCTCCCTCGCTGCAGCTGCGGCCCCACGGCTGGGGCGTTGCCGAATGAATGGCCATCGGAGTCTCCGAGCCCTCCGGGTCCTTGGCACCCTGGCCTTGCCGCGCCCCTGCGCACGGCTGCCTGCTGGGACCCGGGACAGCACGGGCAAAGAGGCGCGGGGCTGGGGTTAGCCTGGGGCAGAAGGCGATGAGTGGCGAGGGGGGCGGGGAGGTGACTGGCTGGGATAGGGTTTCTCTATATGCATTACATATGTGACTGCGTCTGTGTGTGTATCCGTGTGCGCGAATGTGTGCACGCGTGCGCGCTCCTGCCTTCCCTGGCGGGCGGCGGCGGCGCTGGGGTTCTGTCTGTGACCCAAAGAAGTCCGTCTGTTTCCCTGAGTGTGCTCACCTCTGTGGTGTGTGTCCGAACGCCTCTGTGTCTGCTTGGGCCGTGTGCCTCTGGGTCCTATTTGTGCGTCAGTGTGGGGTGCAGTTGGCTGGCCAGTAGGTGGCTGGCTGCGTATTTTGGCATGTTTTTGAGCGGGCCTCTGAGGATCTGTCTCGGGAGCATGTTCAGTGTAACTGGGCTTGTGTGCCAAAACCTGTGGAGCTGGCTTCTTTCTATGGAGACTCAGGAAAATAAGTGTGAGACTCGCAAAAGCGGTGCCGTCTCTCTTTTTGTTGGCGACCGACTTTGGGGGAAAAAAAAAATCTTCATTTAAAGAACTGAAGTTTTCCAGCCTGGGATGTGCAGAGAAACCATGTTGAAGTGACCTGAGGCTCCATGTTTGTTTTTTAGACCAGAAGTTTGTTTGCAAAAGGCGATGAATTCCATTTTGGGGGGGACACCCTAGCTTTATTAATCCATGGATATCTGGGGTTTTAAGAAGCTCACCAGCACCCCCAGGTGAGGAAGGAATGGGAGATAGAGGTAGGTCAAATCCCGCGACACCAAATACTACTTGACGAAAATCTCTGAACCACATAAAAATGCTTTTCAACCTTGTAGCTTACTTATTTAGGAAAATAGTTCAGGCAATGCAATTACAGTACAAAAAAGCCTCTAGGTATTTGGTGTAATTGAAATTGATTTTTCAAAATCTGAAGCCAGACTCTGATAGTATTTTCTCTACAGAATATGTATTAATGTATTCCACTCTTTTGTCCCTGTTTGAAAGGGCAGGATCATTTCTTCGGAATCTCCTCCACCCTCTGCACCCCCTAGCACAGAGCACTTTATGCAGTCATGATGTGGAAGGACCAGGAGTAGACAGGAGACATTCTCTGTGATGATGGAATTTGAGAGAATTTTCTTCCCCCAAGATTGGCACTCTCATGTTTATTGCTTTAGTGTTTCGAAGACCCCCTCTTTTCTGCTGTGGCTTTTCTGCTCCTGGTTACCTGCATTTCAGAGATGGTATAGTTGAAGTAGAGGAATTCGTCTCCAGGATTATACTTGCTCCATCCAAAAATGATGCTAATAATTTTTCGTGTCAGCTAATGAATTTGCATCGACCTGTCCTCCATACTCTCTCACCATTTCTCTTGCCTGGATTAGGATTGCAGGGCAGATGTTGCAAAGGGGAACCTTCCAGAAGATTGTGGGTGTTTCACCTCAGGCACAACTCAGGCAACCCAGAGATCCCCTTTGTTCTGCAGATGGGGGTGAGGGGGTGGTTTAGGGCCACTTGGTTTGCTTTGCATGGCTTCAGTTTGCTCTGGCTGGCTTTGCCATACTGTGTAATGAAGAACGTAATTGTACGCCAGATTCTGAAGCTGAAAGAGCAGCCTAAAGCACTCGAGACCTTGTTATCGTGATAAATGGGTTTCTGGGAAAACTGACGTCACTCTCCATGTCCCCCTCCCCCAGCCAGTGAAGCTCTTGTTTATGTGTCATTTATCTCTCTGTTCTCCTTTGTGTCTGCAAGAAGTTGTAATTCACCAGGGAAGATGGAATTAACTCAGGAGACCTTGGACATCTGGTTGCTGCTTGTATCCTCCAAGGAACATGTATTCAGGGTTTGGGAACAAAAGACTAGAGAATAAACCTAAGTGTGCCTAGCTTAGGAATTCTTTTTTTTTTTTTTTTTTTTTTTGAGACAGAGTCTTGCTCTGTTGCCCAGGCTGGAATGCAGTGATGTGATCTTGGCTCACTGCAACCCCTGCCTCCTGGGTTCAAGTGATTCTCCTGTCTCAGCCTCCCGAGTAGCTGGGATTACAGGTGCGTGCCACCACACCCAGCTAATATTCGTATTTTTAGTAGAGACGGGGTTTCACCTTGTTGGCCAGGCTGATCTCAAACTCCTGACCTCATGATCCACCCGCTTCGGGCTCCCAAAGTCCTGGAATTACAGGCGTGAACCACCATGCCTGGTCAGGAATTCTTTTTAATGAGCTCTGAGACGTGGTACCATGTAAGTACCCTACTGTGTGTATGAGGGTGGGGTGTGTATGGGGGGTGTTCTTTCTATAATCAGTTGAGAGTCACTGTGGGTAAGCATCCTTAGTGACTAAAACAAGCCTTCAAGTTGTTGGGTAGGGCTTATATTGCATTCAGGCAACTTGGAAGTTCAATTCTGGTGCATGTAATACAAGTCGATCCCATTTCAATGAACACCACAAAGGGTTTGATGTGACAACACCATTTGTCCACTGTGTCTGTATTTATTTGATTGACTGATATGTGGCCAGCACTATAGTTAGCCCTTGTCAACTGGAGTTACTTGTCAACCTTGTCACTATAGTTAGCTTGTGAGGTGGCGTGGGCTGCTATTAACACATACTTCAAGAGGTTCCATGACTTGTCCAAGGTAACCAAGGCACAGGGCAGGCCCCAAAAGCTGCATCTCCTGGCTCTTTAATGAAGCCATTCCCTTCAACATTGCATTCTGGATCCAGCCCCTAAAAGCTGGCCCATACAAAGAACGTCTGGATGACTCTGACTTGAGCTATTCCCACAATGTGAACAAGGAAGCTTTCTTCAGTGGCAGTCTGGGTAGGGGTACTTCTCTCAAATGAACTTGCAGAGGCTAACTCTGCCCTACAAAGTTAGCTGGAGTTGGTCTGGGTCAACTGTCTGAGAGCAACTGTCTCCAGGTGGGGAAAGGATTGATGTTGCACTCTTGCTTTGCTAGCATCACGTTGCAGTTTGATTTCCTTTGAGGTCTCTGCCTCAGGCGTTCCTACCACCACCTGCTAAAGATAGTATGTACCTCAGACACAGAAAACAAAACTCAATCACCTAGCTCTACTGGTGATACAACACAGAAGAAAGTTTAAATGGCCCCCAATATTAAAAAATGTTGATTCTAAATTTGAGAGCTTTCATTACATTATTTTCTAAGTTTTCTGTGTGTTTGGGATTTTTCTTTGTTTCTTTTTTTTTTCCTCCAAGACGAAATCTTGCTCTGTCGCCAAGCTGGAGTCCAAATGGTGCGATTTTGGCTCACTGCAACCTCCGCCTCCTGGGTTCAAGCAGTTCTTCTGCCTCAGCCTCCAGAGTAGCTGGGATTATAGGTGCACACCACCATGTCTGGCTGACTTTTGTATTTTTAGTAGAGACAGGGTTTCACCATGTTAGCCAGGGTGGTCTCGAACTCCTGACCTCGTGATCTGACTGTGTCGGCCTCCCAAAGTGCTGGCATTAACATGCCACCCACGCCTGGCCTGGGATTTTTCAAAATAAAAAGTAGGCAGAATGACAATGCCCTTCAAATGGACATTAAACTTCTTTCAAGGAGTTTACAATCCAGTGGTGGAGACAGACACAAATCACTATCTAATTATCATTGTGATAAGTGCCACACGGGAGACTGACTGCCTGCCATGAGATTTCATTACTAAGGGAACCCAATTCAGCAGTGAATGGAGGCAGAGGATGACAGGAAGGGCTTTCTGAGGGCTTCAAATAGGAAATGGGTAGGTGTGAAGGTGGGTGAGATCTCACATCTGCCACTGGGTTGGGAACATATTCATTTACCAATTCACCTACTTTTATTTTCATTCGTTCCTTCAGCACATACTCACTGGGCACTGATCGGCCAGGCCCTGTGCCAGGTGCTGGGGATTTAGTGGTGGTCAAAGCATGCAGGAACTCTGCCCTCTCAGAGCTTCCAGATGAAAGGCAGGAATAAGCCCTGTTTCCTCTTCACATCCGAAATCCTGGAAATCTTGAGTGTTAGCGGTGTTCTTTTTTTTTTTTTTTTGAGTCGGAGTTTCGCTCTTGTTGCCCAGGCTGGAGCGCAATGGTGCAATCTCGGCTCACCGCAACCTCCGCCTCCTGGGTTCAGGCAATTCTCCTGCCTCAGCCTCCTGAGTAGCTGGGATTACAGGCACACGCCACCATGCCCAGCTAATTTTTAGTATTTTTAGTAGAGACGGGGTTTCACCATGTTGACCAGGATGGTCTCGATCTCTTGACCTTGTGATCCACCTGCCTCGGCCTCCCAAAGTGCTGGGATTACAGGCTTGAGCCACCGCGCCCGGCCGTAGCGGTGTTCTTAATACAAAACTACGTTACAGCAGAATGATTTGTCCGTATCGTCTAATAAGATTTTGATCTGCCGTCATGTGCATAGCATTTACTTTGTGGAGTCTCTTCTGTAAATTTTCTATTAGTTGCTGGCTTTATTTCCAAGCATGGCCCCTGCCTTTGTGTGCTATAAGGGAGCAAACCCATTGCATTAACCTGAGCAAAACTAATTAGGAAGATAAGTCCCCTGGAAAAAGGTATTCCCAAACTAAGTA